TGTTGGAAACGACTATAACATGCACTGTCCTTGCTGTACGTAATCACTGTCTGGTCCCACAAGCCGAGTCTTGTTACTTGCCTCATCAAACTGACACAGGCACTGTTCTGCTTCACTCTGTGGGCTTTGTTCAGTCCTGAGTGTCTGCACACTTGCTCTCCATCCAGACTGATGCACAGTAAACAAACTTCAGGAGTCGGGTGGTCCATTGATTGCTGGGTTCGCGCAGGTCAGGGCCCATGGCCAGAATGCTGACTTTGTGAATTGCCTCCTTTTTTTCCCTTAGATGGCTTAAAATCGGAGTGCTGTACAGTGCAAACAGCTTCGAAGTGTTTTCAGGTGTAAATATTCCTTTCCAAAACTCGACTTTGATGTGTCCAAGTCTGCATTGTTTCCCTCTAGATTAGTCGTAGGTTTGTAACGAAGAGCCAGCTCTGACTGAGTAAATCACTAGTGGAAGTTAATTGTTCGCAGTGAAAGCTGGTCTGGCTCATTTTGCCTCTGTCGCAGGAAGAGACAGAAGTGGTGTGCTGTATCTGCGTTTTAAAGCAAGCATTGACGCGACTTTAATTTTGATCAGATGTCTCTCTTCAGGGCATTAAAGAAAACCTTCTCGGTAATCAAAAAGAGCCTCTTCTCAAGAGAAACGTAAGAAAAAAATTTAATGCATTTTACAGAAATAAAGAACTAATATAAAATTTCATCTTGGTCAAATTTCTTTTGCAGGCTATCATAAAAGAAACCTACTTCTCCATATTTGGCAGTCACCAGAATCAAAGAATTATTTTTTTTTTCCTGGAAAAAGGAGTATCAAATTATTTGTAATGTCAGATATTGTATGATGGTAACTTTATATTCCAGCTGTTTTTATTCACTGCTGCTGTGTTTAGATTTTTTGTGCCTTCTTTCCATCAACATTTTCGATATTTTTCAGAATCAGTTATGTGCTTTGATTTCATTAAGTAACAGTCTTCTTTTATTCTCTCCTTAGGACTGAAGCAGTGAAAATGGAAACCACAAAGATTAATATGTCCCGCATCCCCCTGGTTAATGGAGGGATTGACACTGCCATGCTCAAGGCACACAAACCTCGTGTGATGTCCAAAAGCGGTCACAGCAATGTGCGGATAGACAAAGTTGATGGCATTTACCTACTCTACCTTCAAGATTTGTGGACTACAGTTATAGACATGAAGTGGAGGTACAAACTAACCTTATTTGCTGCTACTTTTGTTATGACCTGGTTCCTCTTTGGAGTTATCTACTATGCCATTGCATTCCTTCATGGTGATTTAGAAATAAGCAAGTTTACCCCAAAGCATGAGCCATGTGTCAAGAACGTAGACTCTCTGACTGGGGCATTCCTTTTCTCCCTGGAGTCACAGACAACCATTGGTTATGGATTTCGTTTCATCACTGAGGAGTGTCCTCATGCCATTTTCTTACTTGTGGCCCAACTGGTCATCACCACCTTGATTGAAATCTTCATCACAGGTACCTTTCTGGCCAAAATTGCAAGACCTAAGAAAAGGGCAGAGACTATTAAATTCAGCCACTGTGCTGTCATTACTAAACACAATGGAGAACTTTGCCTGGTGATCAGAGTAGCAAACATGAGGAAGAGTCTTCTGATACAGTGTCAGCTGTCTGGGAAGCTTCTTCAAACATACGAAACCAAAGAAGGGGATCTGCTGAATCAAGCCAGTGTCAAGTTCAATGTTGACTCCTCTTCAGAGAGTCCATTTCTCATTTTGCCTTTAACCTTCTACCATATTTTGGATGAAAGCAGCCCTTTGAGAGGTCTCACACCTCAAAATCTCAAGGAGAAGGACTTTGAGCTTGTGGTGCTCCTCAACGCCACAGTGGAGTCCACTAGTGCTGTCTGCCAAAGCAGGACTTCCTACATCCCTGAGGAGATCCACTGGGGCTATGAGTTCGTGCCTGTGGTTTCTCTTTCTTCAAATGGAAAATATGTTGCAGATTTCAGTCAATTTGAGAAGATTAGGAGAAGCACAGATTCTACTTTTTATAGTATGGACTCCGAAAAACAAAAACTGGAGGAGAAATACAGGCAGGAGGATCAAAGAGAGAGGGAACTGAGAACGATGTTGTTACAGCAGAGCAATGTTTGATGGAATGGACAAATTATTCTGATTAATCCATTTTACAAACTGAAAAAACATACTCTCCATGCTGTATGTATGCTGTGAAACCAGCAGTTAAGTCCTTTTCAGCAAGTAGCTTTGGTGTATAGTAAGCCTATTCTTTTGTTTGGCTGAGTTATTAATCAAGTATTTTGTAATTAGGCAGGATTTCATGACTGTGACTTAGCGAAGTTGGATATATATTAAGTCTCTGCCTTACACCATCATTAAAAGCAGACACATCACTTTCCATTCAGAAAGTGAAACTGGATGCACTGTGCTGATTCCTTCAAATATTTATTTGTTGTGGTTTTATGGTGAACATAGATTTGCAGAGACAGCACACAGTACTGCTAGAAGAAAATATGTAACTTTAAAATATATATATTTAAAATGCATTTTCTCATACCATATATTGCCTTCACAATGATTCATGGCACTGAAAGTAAGTTGATTGGAGAGACAAATGGTTGGATGTGGGAAGAGCCTGCAGTGAGGTGAAAAACTTCTGAAATTTTGAAGGATGGTGACAAAGTAGTTGTGCTGGGTGGTGAGGAAAGGAGCTCCCTCTGCTATTCAGAGCTTGTTTTGTGATCATCACTTTTTTAAACCTTGTTAATGCCTGATTTATATATAATAACTAAAAGGAGAGTTGAGGGCAAACTACACAGAATCATAACAGTAATCAACTAAGGTTAAAGCTGACTTTGAGACACTGGGTTTTTATCCAGTGTAAATAGATTGTAATAGCAGCATAACAATACATTTCTAAAGATTGCTTGCTTTGCTATGGACCGTATTTAATTTTGGTTAAAAGAGAGCTGTATAATGTCTGTAGACAATATTTACTTTTTCTGGCAACCATAAAGGACAAGCATTCCTTTTCATCCATTTTATTTTTGGTCTATTAAAACCATTCCATTAATAAAGGAATTTAATTTGAGGAGCTCCTGATCTCTTTGTGGCATGGGGAGAGGGTGTGGTACTTCAGAGCTGTTGAAAGGGCTGAGAGCTTGGTGTAGGCAGTTGTATCCAGCATACAACGCAGGGACTCAGCAGGTCACTAAAGCAGTCACATTCTCAATAGCAAACCAGGTAGCAGTGGTGTCCATGTAACATGCCTATTATACATGGGTCAGCTATTTAACAGGACTTGGAAACTTTTTCTGACTCATATCACTTTGGTAGCTTTCTGAGTTCTAGAGGTTTTGCTCCTTCAAAGCTTTGGCAAGGAAAATCTGTGTTAAGCACAAGTTTTGAATCTGTGGGCCAGGTCTTGGCCTGAGAGCTACCAAGACCTGCAGTAATGAAAGGGCTTTTGACATCATTATACTTACAGTTACTGTGCTTAGCTTCCTGGCACTGTGTGGCCTAGTGGAATGCAGTCTGCCATAGAATATTCTATACACTAAGTGAATCTAGCTTGGTGCCCAAAGAGGCACACAGCAACTTGAGCTCTTGGCATCAAGACTGAATGTCAAGAAGAACAGAGCACATACAGCAGGGGTGGGGGTGGGTAAGGAGAGGGCGCCAGAGGCTTGAAACTGCTCTTTTACAGAAATGGATAGCTCTCCTGTGTGAGAATTCAGAGATCCGGGTATTTTTCTGAACAAATAGCCTTAAGCCATAATCCAATAATTTTCCCTACCTACTGCAATGCAAACAAGATTTCTCAAACCATTGTAGTTGTATGGCCTGCCTAGCATTTTGGGAAAGAATTTTCAAGTGGTATTGTGCTGTGCTGTCATGCAGGTTTTCATTTACAACCACATGAAGAGGGTGCTAATTTTTAAATTAGTGTTTATTAATTTTCAGTTTTCCTTCATTTTGTTTTATTGCTTGTTTCATTGGGAGTGTGTGTTCAGTTATTTTTTGCAGTCATTGTATAGACCTGAGGTTCATGTCCTTTAACTCAAAGAACACTGTTTTGGGATGCTCAGGCAAAAGTGCCCAGGTGTTTAAACCTCTCTTTTGCCAAGCTTTAGCCTCCATGGTTTGATAATGAAGCATGCACTCCATGCACTTCTTATTCTTTGCTTATAAGCAAAAGCCTTGGAAAGAAATAAAGTACCCGAAAAATTTATTTTCTCTGAACTTTCAGTCCTACAATTCAGAGAAGAGAAGAGAAGAGAAGAGAAGAGAAGAGAAGAGAAGAGAAGAGAAGAGAAGAGAAGAGAAGAGAAGAGAAGAGAAGAGAAGAGAAGAGAAGAGAAGAGAAGAGAAGAGAAGAGAAGAGAAGAGAAGAGAAGAGAGAACACTAGAAATCTTGGTCAAAGTCAAAGCCAACTTTCATCAGGTAGTGAGAGACTGTTCAGTAGTATTATATACATACATTAACATAATATATAATGCACTGTTATTCACTCCAGCTTCAGAGCACAGTCTTACTCTGCAATTAGCTGTACTTCTCCCTACTGCTTTCATGCAAGCATAACTTCCATTGCTTTATTTGCAAGTTAAGAAGAGCAAGAGTGGCTTTGGTGCACCATGCTTAAGTGTAGAGTACTAAACTGCAGTGGAAAAATATCATGACTTGTGGGTTTGATATGAGTCACCAGCAAACCACAGCCTCTCACTGCTTGTGGTCAGCTTTTCTGGTTGTGTAAAACTGGTGATTTACCTCAACTGAGGTCTGACGGGATAGAGAATCAGAAAGCAAAACCTCCATGGCCATCCCAAAGCTGCCTTACCCATGATTAAGGACTGTCCTGCCCCCATGGTGACTGAGGGCATGAGAGCCTTCTTTTCTGCTGTACGCTTGTCCCGAGGGTGTCGGGCAGAGCACCCACAGCTCCAGTAGTTCAGGTACCTGCATAGCCAGCAGCAGCACCTTCTCACTCCTCTCTCTGCCCCACAAATGGAAGATACCGCTTTGGAAACCACTGAGTTGGATGATTATGGCAGTCTATCAATTTATTCTTTATGAAAAAATTTAAATTATATCTGAATCTAAAATTTCAGGGACTGAAGAAAATGGTAGAGCCCTCTGCAATGAGGGCTTTAAGAGCATGATTACACCTATCAAGTAAACCCTCCATTTGAATCACTAGATCACTCAGAATAAAATAGTCATAGTAATTTAAAATTTACTTTTAAAAATTTATTGAGAAATATGATATATTTATCCTTCTTTAATTCTTGAGTTATCAGTGAGCAGAACATTTTTAGAGTCTTTTCAATTATTTTGGTTTGTACAGCACACAACTGAATGGGAACTTATTTCAGCTCATGGACTGTTTCTGAACTATTTGCTTAGGGTTTGGCTTCAATATTTTCAATACTTCATTGTTCTTTTTTTTTTTTCTCCTCTTTTTTGATTTTTTCTGTGGAGGTAGGTGATTGAAGAAGTATAATTTCACTTCCATTGGTTCCTTGCAATGACTAAGGAAAGGAAGAAATGAGCCCTCAGAGACTGCGGGCTTACTGCACCAGAGTCAGATCCACCATCCCTCACAAATGTTTCACTTCATCTTCCAAACTGATGACAATGTTTGTGGACAGCCAAGAATATGACAGGTCTCCAGAAAAACGTGGCAATTTTCTGAATAGATGTAGGGGGACAAATAGTCATCTGGTCTAAAAGATACTGGGGAAGATGGGAAGGAATGCCAAATGAGTACTATGTCCATCTTTGGAGTCCCCAACGCAAAAAGGACATTGAAATGCTGGAGTGGGTACAGAGGAGGGCCACAAAGATTAGCAAAGGGCTGGAGCACCTCTCCTACTAAATTAGGCTGACAGAGTTGGTGTTGTTCAGCTTGGAGAAGAGAAGGCTCCAGGGGGGACCTTATAGCAACCTTCCAATACCTGAAAGGTGCCTATTAGAAATCTGGGGAAGAGGTGTTCACTAGGGCATGTAGTGATAGGATGAGGGGTAATGGTTTTAAATTAGAAAAGGGTAGATTTAGGTTGGATAGTAGGAAAAAGTTCTTCAATATGAAGGTGATAGATCACTGGAACAGGTTGTCCAGAGATATAGTGGAGGTCCTATCCCTGGAGATATTCAAGGTCAGGCTTGATGGGGCTCTGAGCAACCTGATCTAGTAACATTGTCCCTGCTTACTGCTGGGGGATTGGACTGGATGATCTTTAAAGGTCCCTTCCAACCCAATGCATTCTATGATTCTATGATTCAAATGGAAAAACAGAGAAGAAAACCCACTCACGCACACTCACACATATGGCTGAATATTTTCACTTCCATAGTATGCCAGGTTAAAATAACCCCAAAACTCAGATTTGCTAAGGTAACTCAAAGGACTGGGAAAAGTGAATGCAAGTTCTGTATTTGAACAAATATTCCTGATGACTTTTAATTGTGTTTGTTCAGTGTTAGCCTGATGACAGCCTGATCTTGAAAAAGAACAGGTAAGACTCTGTGATGACTCTATCAAATCTGTGATGGAGAGAAGCTTAAAAAACCATAGTGTATGCTCTAGTTCTTGCCTATTCCTTGCTAAAATACTGTTTGGCTCCAAAGCAGTCATGTCCTGGTCACCCTCATGTTGGTGGGATTACATGAATAAAGGAATGTTAACCTGACTTGCCTGCTCAGCCTTCAGCAGATAATTCTTACTGAATGAAAGCATTCTTACTCTCTGCAAATATTAGATTACCAGAACAGAGCCCTTTTAATGCAATAGGTACTGATTGAACATCCTGTACTGAAATGGCTTGGAAGAGCTTTTGGAGCATTTCCAGGATGTCATATATTCCCCCAGCAGAGACTATTCAGAGCTGCCCTGTCCTGTGTTAGCACGTAGTGCACACAGCAAAACAACATAATTCCACAAGTAGCACAATGTGCGTATGCTTTTTGCATCTCCTCTTAACAGTAAACTCTGCAATGTTCACTGTGCACCTCATCATATCATAAGACAGTTAAATTCATTCTGTCTTTACTGTCCTCTGTAAATGTTTATCCAGACAAAATATGACATGATGACTGACATTAGTGATACTGAGAGGGGGGAAGCGTTTAAAGACAT